ATTTGCGTGTTTGTAGAAATTGGATTTCGAATTTCAGAAATTTTTCATCTCTCGCGTGCCTTGATGTTTTTGTATGAGAAACAGCAATTGAATTGAAACAGACATAATTTATTCAGCATTTTCACGTTCAAAATCTGGAATTTCGTAGTCTGTTTGTGCCAATAGCTGTACTTGGATGAGCTGCATCTCTATTATTTTACGCGCAAATGCTGAGGCACTTTGCTTTGTAACAGATTGTTTTGGTTTGATAGTTTGATTGAATTAACAGAATCAGTTAGCTAATATGGATTAGCGAAGACACATTTTTGGTAGAAATTGGTGTGTTGTCATTTACCATGCATAGACTTCTATTTGTCCAACGAATTGTGAATGTCCTTGTATTGTTCTCATGTAATCTGTTTATCGGACTGCAATTAGTGTTCAAGGCGTAGAGTAGTACATGAGATGAACTTTTATCAGTTTCGATCGAAAAATTTAGCGAGTTCTTTCAATAATCAAAGGTAAAACGAAATCTACAAAGTTTCTGACCACTTGTGCTGATTAAAAAAAAAAAAAAAAAAAAAAGCTCCTACCAAGTACCGAAAATCGAAAAAGAAAACAAATTCGAGATATTCCCTTACATTTGCTGGAGTCATTTATTTGAGCACTTGCCTTGTGCAGAACTGATGAAGAAGGTAAGCTACAAATTAGATGGCGAGATGAGGCTCAAGTACCAGTTGAGGTCTGAGGACATGGATGCCCTCGTCTCTGTGAAATCCGACGAGGACCTCCGCCACATGCTCGACGAGATAGACTTCCATGAGCGCTCAGGCCTCCCGAGGCTCCGCGCCTTCCTCTTCCCTCTCAACCCTTCCCCGGCCCATGACAACAACCTCGACCCAAACCCCATACGCTTACTTGCGGCAGTCAATGCTATGCAACAAGGCTCGAGGGTCTCGTCCGCCTGCTCCTCCCCACGCACCCCCGACAGTTGCACCACTGAGACCCTAAACCAAATCCCAAACAGCTACTTTATGAACACTGGTCGGGCCTCCACCAGCAGCATCCACAGGGTCCGGAGCTCACCCACCATCTGCAGCCTCAACAATGGTCCGAGCTTTTGCCACCAGCCAGCCAAGCTGCTAGTCGACCAGCAGAAGAGTCTGATGCCCGACCGTCTGATCTCGGTTAGGTCGGTCGGTCGAGCTGAAGGGGTGAGGTACCAGGTGGACCCTTTGCCCATGCAGTATTATTCCCCTGGTGCTTCTTCCAGGCAGAGCCGGGGAAACGGGTTATTGCAGTGTGACGAGTGGGGCCATTTTATAGATAGGAGAATGATAGCAGATAGAAATGCGAGCCTTGCGACAAGCCCCGTGTCGGCAAGCCCGCTCGGGCAGGGACAGGGCAGCCGGGCCTGGGATAGGGATGTTTGAATTTGATCGGTTGAGTGGGAAGTTGTTTAGAAGATGTGTGTGATATGTGTTTAGTATGTTTTAAAAGATGTCTGACGGCTGGACGTGAGTGGACAGGGTTGACGATGACGATCAAATGGCCAGGATGTTGTTTCTTGTACCAACAGATGTTTTTTTTTTTTCTCAGGACTTGTCTTGATAGTTTTAATTGACCTGACTCTTAGTTGTGAGAGTTTGAGTTGAATATAGTGAGCTTTTAAGGAGATTTGGAGAGTGTTTTCGATATAGAATGTTGATTTGGGGAGCGCTTTCTTGGATGCAGCAGCAACTAATTTGTGTGGCTTTTGCTGTTAGTTCCAATATCCATGTGGTTTACTAGTACATAAGCTAATGGCCTCTTGATGGTAGTCATTATATTCTGGATGTTGTATGGTTGTTAGTTTCATCCACATTGAGATAGTTGCTCTATTGTGGATATTGTTTGGCTTTCAATTTCATCTACATTGAGATGGCATACATGTAGGTAGGGGTCGAACAATTATTCAAACAGTTTTGTAAAGTAAATCATGCCTCGTAGTATGAATACAATATGTCGTTCTTACTATTGATGGCTTAATCCTCATGTAGAGTAGGACATGACATAATAAGCATGAATTGGATTAGAAAGGTAATACAATAATATTGCTCTACAAAAGTCAATAATGCTATATAATTTTTTAATTATCATTTCAATTACTTCAACTTTTTTAAATTCAAAAAATACATTGAAAGTGGATCATGTTTTGGTGTTTGATATGCATCATAATAAAAGCATCAAATCTCAGTGACCAGCATGCTTAAGCAAAACAGCGTAGTAAGAC